GAAATTGGGGTGGAGAACTTTGTCACTCTGGTGGCCTTTGGGCTCATTTTCACCCTGGGGGTGCTGGGCAACTCCTTGGTCATCACGGTGTTGGCCAGGAGCAAGCCGGGCAAGCCCCGGAGTACCACCAACATTTTTGTGCTCAACTTGAGCATTGCTGACTTGGCCTACCTGCTCTTCTGCATCCCTTTCCAGTCTACGGTGTATATGCTGCCCAGCTGGGTGCTGGGCACCTTCATCTGTAAGTTCATCCACTACTTCTTCACCGTCTCCATGTTGGTCAGCATCTTCACCCTTTCGGCGATGTCTGTGGACCGCTACGTGGCCATCGTCCACTCGCGGCGGTCCTCGTCCCTGCGGGTGTCCCGTAACGCACTGCTTGGTGTAGGGCTCATCTGGCTGCTCTCCATTGCCATGGCCTCCCCTGTGGCCCACCACCAGAGCATTGTCCACCAGAGCATCATCAACCAGACTTTCTGCTGGGAAGTGTGGCCCAATCTTCAACACAAGAAAGTCTATGTGATCTGCACCTTTGTCTTTGGGTACCTGTTACCTCTGCTGCTCATCTCATTTTGTTATGCTAAGGTAAGTACAACTGAATTCACTCCAGAAGATAACCCATGTTACGGCATGAGATGTGTGTATAGGAAAGGGGTGCAGCTCCAAGGTACAATGATTTATACAATAAACTATAAAGAGATAGAGTAAGGTGGCTATGCACAGATTATATCTCACCAGGAGGTGATGATTTCTCCTTTTTGCTCTGTCTATAGTAGAGTGTATATATGCAACATAAAGACATGAATGGGCTGTCACAAAACATATAATGAACGTTGAATGCATCAGATAATTTGTGTTTGGTACAGATGGAACTACACCATGTTTAATATGAGCTAACACATGGTTTTGTTTGTAAGGATTTTGCAGAGTGTGCAAAAATTCATGTGAAATTACATTTTATGTGGGATAGTTTTGAGATGGGCTTAACTAATAAATATGAGGAACTATTGAACAGTGAATTATACACACACGTGTATGCTGCATATATTTGAAAATATCTTAAAAACTTAGTAGATAGTCTTAATGTGTGTGTGTGTGTGTGTGTGTGTGTGTGTGAAGTCTAAGGGCCTTTAACTATGGATATTGTTCTAGTTCTCTTAATAGAACTGCACACTTGTAGTTTATGTATGAGATGTAAATCAGAGGTTACAAGAGTATCTTTCTGCTCAATTCACATAATACATAGCCCCACTGTGAGTTACTTTGTGTCATATATAGCCATTTAAAAACAACACATTTCCATGATTTAGCTTGCCTTCTTTGACATTTGATTAAAAGGTCAAGATTCAAGTATCTGTACAAATAGCAATGGGATGTGTCTGTGAAAGCTGTTCTTATTATGACTCCTGCTCAGAGTCTAGGTATCTGACATTGTATGAATCATCTGGGGATTAAAGTGGGTTTCCTGAAATCTATCCCTGGAGCATTATTATCTTTCAGGTGATGCTTTCACAAACCATTTTCCAGCGGGTAATCTCTGAAGAAAATACTAATATTCTTTGATGTATGAATGAAAAACAACTAAGTACAATCTAGAATTATTAATATCAGTGATAGTTTTGCTACTTTCTTCAACAGAGTATGAATTTTAAAAACAGCAAGTGATAAGAATGCCAGAAGGGCACTGTATTCCTAGTTGCATCACAGAGATTAATTAAATTTTGGCTATTGATTTTCATGGCTTGGGCTAGAAAGCAACCACTGTTGAAGAACTCATCTTTGATTGGGACAAAGAAATTCAATAGAGATGCAACAAGCTGAATAGTCTGATCCATTACATTTGAAACTCCACACTTCCATTCATTCTCACTTCTTTCTGGCCGTTCTTTGCATCCTTGGAGTTTAGAATAACCTATACAGCTATTTTTGTTGCTGGCTTAGGACAAAATTAAATTGGCTTGGTATCTACTGGAAATAATTTCACCTCTTCACATATATGTTTATTTTTAATATTAGCAACATTTTCACTGGAATCCCTATTGTAAAGAACAATTAATTTTGAATTGGTTTCTCACTTAGAAATATTGTTGAAAAATAACTATTTAGCTTTAGTTGTACTTTCTAGTTTTCCAATACAATACAGTACTCAATCATTGAGTAGTGTATATGAACCCAGAACTGTATCAAAGCAGAAGACCTTAATAGCAGCAATATCAACTTCAGCGGTGATGGTTTCTGGAAAAAAATTGAAAAAATTTTCAGTGTCCCAGATATTAAGCTCTGCCAAATTTATACAGTATTTTGGCTTAAGTACATTTTTATATTACTTATATTTACTAAATAAAATGTTTTTATGTCCAAGCAGCCTGTGAATATTTACACTGAAAATATTTGATTAAGAAAGAAAAGAACACACTTAAGCCAAAATTCTGTATAAAAGTGGCAGGGATTAATGTTCCAAAACTATGGAATATAGGCTCCCTGAGAAGGAAAACTGATGTGGTCAGTCCAGCAGTGCTGAGAGAGCTTTCCCACTGTACCTGGAGACCAGTAAGTACATGTTGGGGTTAGGGACAAGCAGTTTTTGGATGCTGTGAATGAACTACTTGTGTAAGAAGGCACTGGATACTTCTTTATATGAAGTTGGAAAAAGTCCAGCTATTTACATATGCCTGGTTGTCCAATATTCTGCCCTTAAAGTGGTTTTATATTTTTTGTTGTTATGTCCCTTCAATTCATTTCTGACTCAATGGCTATCCTATGGGAACCCTAGC